TAGACGTTCTTCCTCGTTATGCAACCTCCCACCTCTCTCCCTCCTAACCCTCCTCAGTCAGGCTTGCTGAGAAGGGGAGAGGCTCTAGCGTTACGTCTTTCGTTATGGGCAACGCCTCGCCACCCTTGTCTTGTTCCCTCCTCCTCCAGTCCAGGCTGCAGAGATAGCGGGAGAGGCTCTAGGTTAGACGTCTTTTCGTTATGCAACCTGCCCCCCCTCTCTCCCTCCTCCTCCAGTCCAGGCTGCGAGAAGGGGAGAAGCTCTAGGTTAGACGTTTCCTCTTTATGCTCTCCGCAGCCTCTCCTCAGTTCTGTGACGTCTTCCTGTCGGCTTTCTTTCTCTCGCCGCGTGTCTACCGATCATGTGTGCTTCGTTCGTGTTCAATTTGCTGCTCCGATGTAAGAGAACGGATACAAGTTAGAGATAGGCCATAGAGTATACGATGCCATGTCCTGTCTTTAGTATAGTTAGCTACTGATATTATTTATAGTATATTATATATAATAATAAATTATTTGATATATTTTTTTTTTTTTTTTAAATGTTATATATTATTATATATATATATATTATATATTAATATTAAATATATATAATATAGAATAATAATAATAGGGGTTCATAATTGAAAAAAAAGGTTCATTATTTATATCCCTGAATTATATAGCCAGCCTGGCGGAGCCTACGGATTCACTTTTGCTGTTTGGTCCGGCCTGGATCAAAGCGTGTTGTTCACATTTAATCTGTAATCGTTGATTACGCATTAAGAATTCCGGACGTCTTGCTTCCGGTCATAGTTCACGTTAGTCTAGTCGCAGATGAGGTTCTTAGCTCCTATCAGGCACTTTGTGAGCGTTCCAATTAATATATTATGATGCCTTATTAATAATTTACCGGAAAATCTATTACTACGCTAAAGGCATAAGTCTATTAACCTTCGCGAACGGGAGTATCAGGGAGGTAATGTAATACACTCTCGGTGTGGTGTTCGTTTGTGTGTTCGTGTGCTGTGTTCGTGTGTCTCTTGCGTTCTGGTGTGTACGGAGCGTGTGTGTGTTCGTGTGTGTTGTTCGGTGTGTGCTGTGTGTTAGCCGTCTGGCGCGAGTGCGATTCAGCCACCGCTCGCGTTTAGGGGCGTCAGTCAAGCAGCAGCTCGCCTTAGGCGTCGTCCAGTCAGCACGCAGGTCTCACCTTAGGGGCGTCCAGTCCAGCAGCCAGCTCAGCGAGCCAGCTCTTATACACGATGTACGCTCGCGGAGGTATGCCCCACTCTCTTGAGTGCTCCTCTGTTCTAGTTCTTAATGTTTCTATACTCTCTTTCACCTATTATTCATAATTGTGAAAGCGAGTATAGAAACATTAAGAATAAGACTTTGGCTCTCTCCCACACGGTAATAAAATAGATTTCGTATTTATTCAGCATTATATTTTATTGAAACGCTCCAGGTGCCTGTGGTCTAGCTAGCTGTCTGTATGCGCGCGGCGCGTGCATGCTTGTTCGTGATTTTTTTTGGGGGGAAGGTAAAATACAGTGAGTCAGCATTCGTGTCTGAATGGCATCCACGTCTGAGCTGTCACGTCAATTATGAAAAGTAAGATGATGATGAGATCAGTGTCTATGTGTAATCAGAACGATCTCTAACAAAATAAAACTTGGCTTTTTTCGATATATTTGAGGTTCGTCTATTATTTTTTATCAATAAGTGCGTAATAAAGATGATATAATAAAGCTAATGTAATAAATACTAATAATAATGAGTGATATAATAATATAAGTAGACCTAAGTGAATGAATATTGATGCAGATATTGAATTCGAATGAATATTAATGAACGTTAACATCACATCTCTTGTGTTTTCAATGAATTTGCATCGTGCGTGTATTGTGCATATAGATCATTCACAATACTGTAGTACTGTGTACTGTACAATAGTACTGTGTGGTCATCACAAGTAAAACATTCAACCGTGGAAAACAGATCTGACATCAAGCACAGTGAAGAATGTACAGTACGCACCATATATATATATATAATTATTATATATGACCATCCTAAAAAGGAATTTATTAGACGACTTGAAGTTGATGGGTCAGGTCGACTCTTACCGGAGGAAATTTGACCGTGTTATAGTTATATATTAATACTACGGGGGTACTAGGCGCGTAAGTTTACAGGGGGTTATAGTATATATAATGAGCTATAAAGATTATATGCGGACTGGCTTGCCTGAGACGCTGCGCGATGGCCGCACCGCGCACGTCGCTAGAGATTTTGTTGTTTGTTTACTAGGAACTGTAAAATCGATTGATCCATGGCGAGGAATTCTTGATGAAAATTCTGGCGACGTGTGAACAAAGAGGAATAGGCCGATTGGCACCCTTCGGAAGATTTAGAAAATGCGCATGGGGCATTGGCCGGCCATGGATTTGCAAGCGGGATCCAGCACACTGTGAGCTCTCTTGGTCCATCTGGAGGCAGCGTACCGGCGGCAAGGCTATGCTCGATCTGGCGCGCGATAGGCGAGACCTGCGAAGTGGGGGTTGGGATTAACACCCACGAAACGGAGACCGTCTGTGTGTGCTCGACGTTGTAGAGTTGTAACCTAGTTTTGCAACACTATCTTTCTCGACATTAGCAACAAAAATCGGTGTAACTGGGTCACGTCTAATCTGTGTCCTATTTTTACTGGTGAGCTCTGTGTGATGATGTGTGGTTAGGGGTGGAAGGTTATGGATCGGCCTTGGCTGCGGAGTTAGAAGGAGATTGTGTTAACAGGGGTATAAATTTGTGACAGGGGGAGATTTGGTGTGTTACATGGTGGAAAGTATTGGGCACGGGGCAGTGGCGTCACAGTGGGCTTAGACTAATGTCACCGGGGTCGCCCAGAGTTTTTGACTTTTAGTGCAAGGTTAATGCGACATGTAACTGTAATTATATCGTCCAGCTTCTGCGCTTTTGCAGGAATATGTTGCAGTTCGTCTTTTTAAGTTCATCGTCTTTTTGCCGCATTGTTTTGCCTATATTCCATTCATTATATTTTAGATATTTCTAGTTCATGATGGGTGGAAAATTCCATACCCGTGGGGCTTTTATGCGTTTTATCAGGAGTCTATCAATATTGATAGACTGCCTTGGTTTTATGGTATGTCGTCACGCCTATGGATACCATGTTTGCGTTATTTCGGTTTTGTTGCACGGGCCATAACTAACGCTGAGAGGGTCCTAGTGGTCCCCCGGGGTTACTG